TATACTTAAAATGGCAGCCATTTTGTAAACATGGAACATTGGCGAACAGTACATTATTTACAGGAGTTCATTAGAACGATGCTGTACTTAAGAATAGTTTGAAATGTTTGCTTCCCATTAAAAGATAGATAGATAGATAGATAGATAGATAGATAGATAGATAGATAGATAGATAGATAGATATGGACAGACTGAGTTAGATAGATAGATTGATACGAACAGACTGAGATAGATAGATAGATAGATAGATAGACAGATAAGTAGATAGATACGAACAGATTGACACAGAAAGAGACAAATAGGTGGTTCAATAGATACAAACTGACCGAGATAAATAGATAGATTGATAAATAGATACGAACAGACTGAGATGGATAGGTACAAAAAGAATGAGTTAGATACGAACAGAATTTGACAGATAGATTGATACGAACAGACTGAGCTAGATAGATAGATAGATTGATACGAACAGACTGAGATAGATAGATAGATAGATAGATAGATAGATAGATAGATAGGATGAGTAAATGAGAGTAAAATGAAAAAGTGAAAATACTTGGTAGAATGAAAAAGAAAGAACATTAATCAAAAGGTGGAAAAGATAATAAAAGTAAAATCTTTCGAGATGAGGCCAAGAACCATTAAAATAACCAACTAAAAGTGAACTTTTGGTTACAATTGTCGTTGATTCCGACGGAAAAAAAAAAAAAAAAAAAAACAAAAAAAAACGGGACATCAAAAACAGTTTACAAGAGACATATTCTTCGTCAGATTCTAACAATTAAATTATTGGCAAGGTGAAATTTTCAATTGTATATGTCGGAATACAAATAGCATACATTTCAGCGAGGTTCTCAATAACTTTCTACTATTGATGTTTACCTATCCGTGTTTTGTGTGTCGTGTAAGTTTATATACTTGTCTATTTGTACTGTGTTACGTGATGTGCACCATCGAGGCGATTAGACTCTACATGTATACACAAGTGTTTTTCAGGGGGTAAAGCATTCAGAACTGTCGAGTAACATCCAAATCTCTTACATGACAGTGAATGATGAGCAGATTTCTCACGAAAAGAAAAAAAAATCTTGAAACAAAACGGATGTTATTCTAAGGATTGATGTTGAGAATGGTATTGATAGAGAATTATTTTAAAAGAGGAACTACAAAGACTGGTGCTAATAATCAGAAAGTGTCAAATAACATTTTAGGGACACATAGTGAGGAAAGAGTGCTAGGAGAATTAGACACTCATAGTGAAAGCAAGAAATCAGAGAAGAAAGCCGATTAAGTAAGTAGCAGAAAAAAAAACACTGAATGATTGTGCAGTGCAACATTTACTTCGAGTAACAAACAGACATGAAATTGTGGAGGGCTATGTTCGCCCAAGTTCGGAAGGAAGACAGATAGATATGAATAGTCTGAAACAGATAGTTAGATAGATACATAGGAGAGAGAGAGAGAGAGAGAGAGAGAGAGAGAGATGGGGGTGGGGAAAGAGAGTTATGTCATGCAGATATACCTAAAATGGCAGCCATTTTGTAAACATGGAACATTGGCGAACAGTACATTATTTACAGGAGTTCATTAGAACGATGCTGTACTTAAGAATAGTTTGAAATGTTTGCTTCCCATTAAAAGATAGATAGATAGATAGATAGATAGATAGATAGATAGATAGATAGATATGGACAGACTGAGATAGATAGATAGATAGATAGATAGATAGATAGATAGATAGATAGATAGATAGATAAGGCTTTCTTTGAAATGTTAGCTTTTCTGATAAAAAAAAATGTATAAACAGGTTTGATTCCAGACGGAAAAATTCCTTAGTATGATTTCTCGAGCTCCATTCCCAAAGTTCGTTCAGGATGTTGGCGATTATGGCTCTCTACAACTTCCTGTCCATTGTAGATCTTTGTAAATGTTGCCTTTTTGTTTTTTGTCTTTTTCTGCCATCCACTTACACAAACTCGTTAGGCAGGGGTTATGCTTTATTTTTCTCTGGCCTTCTTGTCTTCAATGTCCTGTGAGTGTCAAATTTTCCAAACCGTCTTTTCTCATTATGTCCCTTAGATATTTCAATTGTCTGTTTCTGATGTTAAGCATAAATGTCCTTTTTGTTTTCATTTTCTCTAAAACGTTATTGTTACTCACGTGTTAAGTCTATGAGATTCTTAGCATTCTTCCGTAGAATAACGTTTTATGTTGCTTCAAGTCTATTCTTGAACTGTGAGGAGATTCACTGCCATATAGGAGGCCTGATATTACGGAACAGTTCAGTATTCATTCCTCTGTTTCTGTTGCTTTAAGTCTCTTCTTCATCTGCCATATAGGAGGACCGTTCAGTTTCTTCACTTCATCTGTGCCATCATAGGAGAGATTCACTGCCATATAGGAGGACTGACATTACGTAACAGTTGAGTGCTCTTTTCTTTGTTTCTGTTGCTTCAAGTCTCTTCACCTGTGAGGAGATTGTTCAGTATTCACTGCCATATAGGAGGACTGACATTACGTAACAGTTGAGTGCTCTTTTCTTTGTTTCTGTTGCTTCAAGTCTCTTCATCTGTGAGGAGATTGTTCAGTATTCTTCATCTAACAGTTGAGTGCTCTTTTCTTTGTTTCTGTTGCCTTCAGGAGATTGTTCAGTATTCACTGCCATATAGGAGGACTGGTAACAGTGACAAGTTCTTCATCTGTGAACAGTTGAGTGCTTACTTTTGCTTTTTCTTTCATATTTCATACTTCAGTTTCTGTTGCTTCAAGTCTCTTCATCTGTGAGGAGATTGTTCAGCATTCGCTGCCATATTGAAGGACTGATATTACGTAACAGGTCAGTACTCATTCCTCTGTTTCTAACAAAATTTTCATTCAAGTTTCTTCATCTTTGTGAGGGAGATTGTTCAGCAATCTTTTTGCATTTATTACTTAATATACTCATTCCTCTACTTTTTCATGTTTTCAGACTAATTTTTTTACTTTGATGACATCCTTCGCTATCACAAGTCGCCTTTGGATTACCACGTGTTGACGTAAGGTCTTTGAACGAAAATGGTCTCAAAACCCGTATTACGAGTGGACCCTAGGGTTTTGGTGAAAAGGAACTCAAAAACAACAGACTTCCTCGTTATCTGCCATATTCCAGAAACTATTTGAAAAAGTGAAATAATCTGCTTAGCTTCGTTGCAGTATAAATCACAAGTTGGATGTGTAAGTGTAAGAACCACAAATATGGAACCTGGAGATTGCAACAGAGGTTAAATATTCGGAATACTAAATTAAGAAAATATCGAATCTTCAGTTATTTTGTTGTTAAAACTGTGGCCACTAATAAAGAATCCGAGTTAAAAATAAAAGAATGAAAAACGCCAATCATTTCTGATTGAATAATTCCGAATCTCGTCTCGCCTTTCAGCCAATCAGCTTTGTTACATTTGTTAGTGCTGGTCATTTAATTCAAATCTCAATTTGATGTATCATGGCTCCTGGGGAAAAGCATACATTCTGTCATTAATTTAGCCCTGGGTATGGCAATAAATTACATTCGAAATCAAGGCCTCTGATCGGGAATGTTACTGGGTATGACGATAAACTACATACGGCAGAATTGTCTCTGATCGGGAGATTGAAGGTTTTGAGGAGCAAGGAGCAGCCTCTTAATTGCTGTTATTTCCAGGTCCACCTTGATCAGGGGTGGTAGAACCTGTTAGGGTCCCAGCTATGGGCAAATAGTACCCCCTAAGACAACAAAAGCATCAACAACAATAAAAAAAACACTATGAAGGTATAAAAATACATTTTTATAGTAAAAATACCAGTAATACAGTTTTAAAGGAAAATTTCTCGCAAAACATTTTATCTGTAATTAAAGCAATACAGTTGTGTTCAAAATATATTTAGTTGAAACCATAAAATTGTGTTCAAAATATTTACATTTCGGTATATTTGGATTTGGATATATCAACCCAGAGGTTGATATATCGCTAAAGAAAATCATCCCAACAACCAGCATGATAGAACTCCTGTATGACATTCATTTATAAGATATCTTATAATTTCTTAATGAAATCAAACTATATTCGAAAATATAACTTCAAAAAAAGTACAACATAAAATACACATTGCATCGCCTATAATAAGTATATCTACACAAACGTGTATATACGCAAAAAAAAAAACAAAAAAAAACTGAGTATCATCTACCATGTCTTCAGTTGTGAAAACAGAATAACATATGTCATATTTCTATTACTTCAAAGCTACCACGAAACTTTAATTTCGGCATTTAATGACCCATAAGCATAGAAATGGAAGTATGCATTTTAGGGTTTCTATATAAAAAAAAAGTGTTGTGTCGTGGCACAATAGTAAAAATAAGTGTTGAAACTTGACTAATGCATGGAATAATAATACAACACAAAATGTACTTAGAACAAAATGTATTGAAACAAGAAAGTGTACACAATATTTACATATAGTCTTTTTTGTATATTCTTGGGAAGACTGTTCCTGGAGAATGTGACTTAGTCGCAGTCAGGCAGAGTCTCTGGATTGAATCTCTTGATTCCTCCCCCTTACGTCGTCTTCCCGGTACCAACCATATTTATATGGTCGGTACCCACTATGCAAATTAGGTGGATCCTACCACAACAATAAGAAAATCAAGTCGAAGTTGGTTTAAAGAACAAGTGTATTTAACATCACAGATACAAAGGTAGGAAACGGGTACTACTCAGCTAGGCAGTTGTAGTACTGTCGCTGCTTACACCGGGTAGGTATTACTGGCACTATATATAGTGAGAACCGGTGTAATTCCCTTGTGTTAGAGGCCGGTGCAACAAAAAGGAAATGAGTATTGACAACCTACTCATGATAATAAAGTATAAATTAAAATAATGTCGATGGCGTGTCGAAAGTCTGTTTATATAAATGTGGATTTAACATATCCGGCTTCTCTTGTTGGTATACTTATGCTTACGTATATCTTCGTATTGCATTGTTCCTTTATCGATAATTATTCTATAGAAGCGTTAGTGCTTGTGATTTGCATGAGAGAATATCTTTGTCCATGTGAAATAAATTAGTTTGGTAAATATGTATTTGTGTCTGGCAATCTTTTGATAAGAAACAGAAGAATTGTGCTCAAGCAAACCGTATTTCTTGAAGAATTCGACCCGAATAGCAATGTCCATACTTTCTTAGTTATATACATGACGAAAAAATTTTTGAATCTATTCTGTACAAGAAAAAGATAATTAGGAGCAATCGATCTGTTCAGACTAATATCCTCATCTTCGCTTTTATAAACGCTGCGAGAAAATCGCGATTCCAACCACCCAACGTAACATTTCATTTTATTCAACTCCCGACTTCGTAAATCCTCTTCAGGCAGTCTGCGTGTGGTTACGTGGTATCTACATTCTCGTGTGAATGAATGTGACTCTCTTTACTTACTCCTGGGTGAGTCTTTAAATATCTATCAACCATACAGGATTTCTCCCACCCGTAAACATCTTAGGCACAGCTGGATTGACTATGTATTTACATCACGATAACAGCCGCTAACATTGGACTAACCGCTTATTGCAACTCTAGGCTAGGAGGCTATTTCTGCGATCAACTTTGAACTAATAGAAATATGATAGGTTATTCTGCTTTCACAATTGAATACATGGTAAATGATACTCAGATTTTGTGCATATACACGTTTGTGTGGGCATAATTATTATAGGCAGTGATATGTGTTTCTTAGACGTTCTCTGAGTTTAGGTTAAGACACATACTGCAATCATATTTTGGATAAAGTCACTGGATAGCTGCATCAGTTTTACGTGAGTTCAATCCCTGGTCCAGGCAGTGCAGATCGTAGACTAGTATCGATTTTTTGTACCTTTCTTACTCGTTTTAATTTCCAATGATGAATAAATATTTGTGTTCGATAACCTTTCTTGCTGTCTTCAATTTTTTTTAACTTTTAATTCTAAAAAAGATTACGATTCGAAAATGTGTAACATATTTTATCATTTTGGTATGTCAAACATTACTCTGATAAAATTAAAAGGAAATGTACTTTTTTAATCATAGCATCTTAGGCAAGTCAGTGAAGACACTAAGACACAAATGATTTCTGGGTGTGAAAGAATAAGAAAAAAAAGAAAAAAAAATTAAAGAACAGGAACAATAAAAGAGTAATCAAGGGGACAATAGATAATGATTGTTTTGGCATATACATTTTTTGAAGATCAAAGTTGGCCAGAAAAGAGTGCCATAAGTTTCCATACTAGAAATGAAAATGTTAGTATAGAATTTACGGTTACGTCTAGACAGTTCAACTGTGAACTGATGAGACCTTGCCGCCAATCTAGTACTGCGCTTAAATTCATAAAGTCAAGGTACCTTATCAAAGAGTTTATTGGAACAATTACCATGAAAGTATTTATAGAAAAGGCACAGGGAAGCCGTAGGGAGCTACATAACGGCAGTTGAAAAGTGACTGAAGTCGAAACCAGAGTTGAGGACCAATAATATTGCTGATTCTTCTTTGGATTTTATCAAGAATCTGTAAATATACATTAGGAGAACTGGACCATATGTGGCAGCAATATTCAAAGCATAGATGAATGGTAGATTCATAGATATGTAACATGAATTCTGGAGAGTAAAATTGTCTAGCACGACATTGTGAAGCAACTTTCTTAACAACAAACCTAGCAATTGCTATATATATATATATATATATATATATATATACACGCAAAAGAACAATGAAAGTATTTTGAAATTTTGAAATGGTTACATTACGGTGATGAGAAAGTGACTGAAGCCGAGATGCCAGGTCATGACACATAGCGTTGTAGATTCTCCTTTGGATTTTATCAAGAATCTTTAAATATATAGCAGGAGCACCTGCCCATATGTGGTAGCAATATTCAAAGCATGGACGAATGGTAGACTTATGAATATGTAACATGAATTTTATCGGGAAAACCCCACTTTCCTAGCATCTGGCCTAACAATGAGTATTTAAATTCGATATCAAAGCATTTCCTATTAAAGTCAGACAGATCTGTATTTTGAAAGTAACCGAATGGTAACTCTTGTTAATAAATATTTTTCGCAAAATAGTCAAAATTAATCTTTGGATAATCATCACTATTCTCTGGAACGAATCCCTTTAAGACATTGCTGCCTGTTGGCTCTTCATAGAACCTAAACAGTATACGCCCCTTACTATCCTTCCAATCCTTCCATCCATTTGCATAAGCTGTTTCACTCTTCACCACTTGCCTTCAATATGTCCTGTGAATATCAATTTACACCAAACCCTCTTTTCTCATTACGTGTCCTTGAAATGTCTACTGTTTTTTCTGGTCATTTTCGAATCTCTTTTTCTCAAAAATCTCTTCGTCACTCACATTTTTATGTCCATGTTATTCCCAGTAACCTTCTGTAAGACCACATCTTCTCTTCATCTTTGAAGATACTCCCAGGAATTCACTGTCATATAAGAAAAGTGATATACCAGAGATAGACATTTTCCTGATTCTTAATACTCTTAGTTTTTGAAAGGCATTTTCGCTGTTCTATTGTGTCTTGGGATGTATCTATCAAATCTTTCCTCGTCTGTTATAGCAATTCACCATTAAATTTCAGCGCTTACTTGATTTGGCGCCTCTTATTTGCCGCTCGAATCTTAGGCTGCCCCATCTGCTAACGACCATTCAATTCTCTTATCTTACAATTAATGCTGATTTCTTTTTTTTTTTACTGATTTGGGTAGAAGTTCTTGCAATTTCTATTTCGCATCGACCATTAAGACAGGGTTGATACATAACATTTGCATATGTTATGCTGTCAAGTCAGTTTTTGCTAATGGGTGGAGTAATGGATAGCAGCTCGGATTGAGGAATCGGAGAGCCGAGTTCGAATTCCAGTCGAATCCATTACATTCACTTAAGTGCTAATACCCTTGGGAAAGTTATGAATCCAACTCTCTTGGCCTGAAGAGGCCGAGGGAGTAATAGATAGCGACTTGGATTGAGGAATCGGAGAGCCGAGTTCGAATTCCAGTCGAATCCATTACATTCACTTACGTGCTAATACCCTTGGGAAAGTTATGAATCCAACTCTCTTGGCCTGAAGAGGCACGGTGGGAGTAATAGATAGCGACTTGGATTGAGGAATCGGAGAGCCGAGTTCGAATTCCAGTCTAATCCATTACATTCACTTACGTGCTAATACCCTTGGGAAAGTTATGAATCCAACTCCCTTGGGAAAGGAATGAATCCAACTTACTCTTGGCCTGAAGAGGCACGGTGGGGTGGGAGTAATAGATAGCGACTTGGATTGAGGAATCGGAGAGCCGAGTTCGAATTCAGTCTAATCCATTACATTCACTTACGTGCTAATACCTTTGGGAAAGTTATGAATCCAACTCTCTTGGCCTGAAGAGGCACGGTGGGAGTAATAGATAGCGACTTGGATTGAGGAATCGGAGAGCCGAGTTCGAATTCCAGTCTAATCCATTACATTCACTTACGTGCTAATACCCTTGGGAAAGTTATGAATCCAACTCTTGGCCTGAAGAGGCACGGTGGGAGTAATAGATAGCGACTTAGATTGAGGAATCGGAGAGCCGAGTTCGAATTCCAGTCTAATCCATTACATTCACTTACGTGCTAATACCCTTGGGAAAGGTATGAATCCAACTCTCTTGGCCTGAAGAGGCACGGTGGGAGTAATAGATAGCGAATTGGATTGAGGAATCGGAGAGCCGAGTTCGAATTCCAGTCGAATCCATTACATTCACTTACGTGCTAATACCTTGGGAAAGTTATGAATCAACTCTCTTGGCCTGAAAGGGCACGGTGGGAGTAATAGATAGCGACTTGGATTGAGGAATCGGAGAGCCGAGTTCGAATTCCAGTCTAATCCATTACATTCCTTACGTGCTAATACTCTGGGAAAGTTATGAATCAACTCTCTTGGCCTGAAGAGGCACGGTGGGAGTAATAGATAGCGACTTGGATTGAGGAATCGGAGAGCCGAGTTCGAATTCCAGTCTAATCCATTACATTCACTTACGTGCTAATACCCTTTGGATTGGGAAAGTTATGAATCCAACTCTCTTGGCCTGAAGAGGCACGGTGGGGCAGTAATAGATAGCGACTTGGATTGAGGAATCGGAGAGCCGAGTTCGAATTCCAGTCTAATCCATTACATTCACTTACGTGCTAATACTCTTGGGAAAGTTATGAATCCAACTCTCTTGGCCTGAAGAGGCACGGTGGGGAGTAATAGATAGCGACTTGGATTGAGGAATCGGAGAGCCGAGTTCGAATTCCAGTCGAATCCATTACATTCACTTACGTGCTAATAGATAGCGACTTGGGAAAGTTATGAATCCAACTCTCTTGGCCTGAGGGGAGTATGAATCCAACTCTCTTGGCCTGAAGAGGCACGGTGGGAGTAATAGATAGCGACTTGGATTGAGGAATCGGAGAGCCGAGTTCGAATTCCAGTCTAATCCATTACATTCACTTACGTGCTAATACCCTTGGGAAAGTTATGAATCCAACTCTCTTGGCCTGAAGAGGCACGGTGGGGAGTAATAGATAGCGACTTGGATTGAGGAATCGAGAGCCGAGTTCGAATTCCAGTCTAATCCATTACATTCACTTACGTGCTAATACCCTTGGGAAAGTTATGAATCCAACTCTCTTGGCCTGAAGAGGCACGGTGGGAGTAATAGATAGCGACTTGGATTGAGGAATCGGAGAGCCGAGTTCGAATTCCAGTCTAATCCATTACATTCACTTACGTGCTAATACTCTTGGGAAAGTTATGAATCCAACTCTCTTGGCCTGAAGAGGCACGGTGGGAGTAATAGATAGCGACTTGGATTGAGGAATCGGAGAGCCGAGTTCGAATTCCAGTCTAATCCATTACATTCTTAATCCAAGTTACATTCAACTTTGGCCTGAAGAGGCGTGGAGTA